CAGAAGAGACCCGGAAAGACCCGTTCCTAATTCAATTAATTCCAAAAAGAGGAATGAGACGCAGACAGATACGGAGAGAGCCTGAGAGAGAGGTTTAAATACCCACACACCAGACACACACTCTGGTATGGAACTCTGCAGCCCCCCATCAGCCCGGGGAGAGCGCGCTGCGCTCCCGCGCTGGAGCGGGCAGGAGAGTTGGCTGCGCTAGAGCCATACCCTGGCTCACACCTGGGCAGCGTCTCCACCCAACGCTGTACCCCAGCTCCCTGGGCACGGCCAGTGCCTAGAAGTTCCCTCTTCTCCTCCCCTCGGAGCGCCCCAGCTTCCCTTCCCTGCACTAGGGAACTAAGGTGACTCCGCTCCTGGCATCTCCTTCCTGAAATCCGTTGCCCTCCTTCCTGTGAACCCAGCCCTGGTCTTGGCCTTCTTCTCGCGCCCACACTCCCAGGGCTGGCCCCCCTGTCCCAGTGCTTTAGGATGGAGAAAGTTTCCAGAGCAGAACAGCCCTCCCAAAGCAGCTGCGCCCTTTCTTACCACTTCTCACCTAGGGAAACTTTGTCGAAAATTTTTAAAGCTGCAGGACAGAAAGGCAGAAGCTGCTTCAGAATTCAGAACCGGGGCAGGGTTTTAAGGTTTCTCACAGTTCAGATGTCATTTCTGCTCTGGCCCCATGGCCAGCGCCTGGGTATCCCAGCCCTGAAGGATGGAAAAATGACAGTGTCTTGGGCTGTGAGTTGGGAAGCCTGTTCTGACAGCAGAGGCCCATCTGCCCCTCCCACTTTTCGCAAAAAGCAGCATCCTCCTTTGAGCACACTGGAGCAGGTCAGATGCAGAGTCCTGCGCTGCCCCTCTGTTGCCATGGAGGGGTTGGGAGTGTAGGTCAGGCTAAAGCTGCTCAGTCCTGGTTTCTGCCTTCTCTTTCTCCCCAGCTTCCTTAAGAACTAAACTGTAGAATCTAGAACCATACCTTAGTCCCAATCCCCCTCAAATCAATGACTGCCCTCAGAGCAGGTGAATTCCTGTCAATGATTCTGGGGAAGAGGAGGAAGCAAGGATGCCCAAGAGAGAACGAAATCTCTGACCTCTGCCCAGAAATTCTTGTGTCCATCAGCTTGTGGACTTTCCCATGAAAGGGAAAAAGAGAAGCAGTCACAGCCCCATGGAGCCTCCAGAGTGTCAGGGTTTTCCTGCCACTGACCCTCATGGGGGTCGGTGTCCCCCGGTGATTTATTGGGCTGTTTCCCCGAGTCACAAAATCAGGGCTGGGGGTTTACTGGGAGTCCATGGCTCACTGTCTGAGTCATGGCTGAAACGGAGCTCAACGGTGAAGGGACAGGAATGGAGCTTAACAGTGAAGGCACAGGGAGTAACTACTTTCCTTCCCTTTCTTGCCAGATGGGCAAATGGCCTGGACTCGGAGATACCTCTTTTTCTCTGTCACTTTCCAAATGCTGGACTTAGAATGGGGGCTGGAAAATCAAGAGGAAGAAGTCCTCCTGATTGAACTTGGATCCAGTCGTCGAGTTCCGCCGCCCAGGGGTTGAACTGAGCTGGCTGGTGGGTGCTTGGAAATCCTGACGCTGAGGCTAGGGCAAGAGGGGCGTCCTATCTGTGCCTTCTCCCCAGGCCGGGCACTACGTTGGACCCTCCCCTGCTTCTGTTCTTGGAGCATCTCTGGGTGTGTGTGCACAGGCAGGAGAGCAAGCAAGAGAAAGAGACCTGCAAGGGGACGTTTGGGGCCGCATGTCCGTGCACATCTTCTTCTCCTGCTCATCACACCATCTCGCCAGGGAAGTTGAGCACTGGGGAGGAGGGTGATGAGAGGCGAGAGCCAGCCAGAGTGCAGGGAATGTGGGGGGAAGGGTCAGGAAAGTGGCGACTGGTGTGGATGCCAGGATTCACTAGAAGCGGAGTCACTCAGGGGGATTTCTGTCCCAAAAGGGACCCGTGCACCCCCACCCAATGTGATCACAGTCACACAGGCCCAAGAGTCATCAGCATCTTTCTAAAAGGTCTAGAATCCTGCTTCAAAACAGAATTGAGCCATGTAGGGTAGCTGAAGAACAATGCATAGAAAGAAGTCTGTGGTCTGGCCAGGGGAGCCACATGGAGGGGTCCTTTGCTTCAGGCCCCAGTCCCGCCCAGCTCTGGACTTCTGAGCGGGTTCTAGGAAACTGGCTGAGTAGGGGAGAAGCCCAATTAACCTTGTTCCCAGGGCAGGATAAGAATCAGGCCTTGGGATAAGTGCCAAGTTCCTTTTCTCTGCAATTGCCCCGCCAGGCCTTGCCCTATGCCATGAGTGCAGATCAGACTTTTGCAGGTTAGGATCTGGGATATGTGCCTTGCTCCACACTCCCTGCAATAAGTGAGGGGGAAGGACGATGGGCCAGCTCCTTTCTTCCATGAATAAGAGTGATTCAGAGGTTTATAAGATGCTGAAGACAGGGACACATACGGGGGATGAAGGCCCCAGTCTGTGATCTCACTCTAGAGAGGCGATGTCGGGAGAATTCCAGAGAAGGCAGTGAAATTTTGAAAGAATGCTGGTAAAAATGTTCTGAAAACTGCTGGAGAATTCTGGCGCGGCATTGGAAAGGGCCTCCTGCTCCATGTTCCCCTGGGTCAGGCACATAGACCTCCCTCTGCAGCCAGAAGGAAAGACACTGGACGAGGGTCAGCACCCCAGAGTGAACAGCTCCTGGCCTTGGCGCCTCTGCTGACTGCCTTCCTGACCACGGGGAGGGTATCCTTTCTACTGGGGGACAGAAAGGGTTTGAGGACCGACATTTAGGGGATGCAATGAGCTCAAGCTCAGAATATAATTGGATCCACCCTTTGACATGTAGGACTTCCTTCTTCAACAACCTTTCCCTTTCCTGCTTGTCAGGGAGATGTTATTTTGGGTTCTTGGACCCAATCTTTAAAAGCCTTTGCACGCTTGACCTTAATCCTCAACCCCAACACTACAAGCTCCATTTCAGCCCTAAAACGAGCCACAGTGTTTGGAGAAATAATTTAAATGAGCAGCATCAGAAACAGCCTCCTTGGGGGACTCCTAAATGTGTTCAGGCTTTAGGATTGGAGTCTTTGGGGCTCAGAACCTTCTTCAAATATTCTAGGACTACAGCGTGCACTGAGCGCTGAGCAGGGGGAGTAGGAGGGGCTCTTTCAGGGAAGTCAGTTAAGAGCTGCCCCTGCCTCTGAGGTTCAGAGAAAAAAGAATTGTGAGGCCGCGTTATCTGAGCAGGGATACCCATCCAGTGCCTTTCCTCCGTTCTAAGCCCTTAAGGTTCCCTCTGGTCAGAACTGTACCAGGCAGGAAGAAATCAGCCCAGATTTGGATGGGGTGGGCACCTGCTGCCCTGTCCCAGGGGAGAACATGGTTAGGTTCCTCTCTACTGGGTGGGCACCCAGACTCAGCCACCTCACAGACCTCTGGGGGTGTTCCTCCAACCTTGTCGACACCCCTAAAAATGTCAACATTCCTGAGACCAGAATGGCTGATTCCCCTGAGTCCACCCAAACACAACTTTAAGATGAAAAAGGGGCCTCCCTCATTAATATTTCATCTTCATGACCTTATAATTTTTTTTTGTTTGTTTAAAAATACCCCTGTCTGGTTCAATGGTTGTCTCTTTGTCTCTGCCCACTTGCTTTTTGCCACAGTGGGCAGAGAGTTGTAAAATGACCGGCTGTTTCCAACTTGATCATTTTTCAGTGATGAAAAGGTATTTTGTTTGCAAGGGAGGTGCCTGGGCATGTCCGGGAATGAAGAAGTGTAAGGATGTCAGTGCTTTAGTGCTGGGAAGGTGCGAGCCTGGGTTGGGTCCGGGAGGGGTAGCTAGTATAGCCCAGTGGGTGTATGGGGGGGTGGTTAGGGCGGGAATCCTACCCAAGAATGTCCAGGGTCCCTCTCTTTGGCCTCTGCACAGTCACTTGACACTCTGCCTTCATGACCCCAGCCCCAGCTCAAATCTTCTCTCCCCGCTCAATGAAATGAGGCCACCGTGAGAAACCGGTCCGGCTTTGCATCTCATTTACATAAATATTTATTAATCGTCATTAAACTGAACAGAAACACGCAATGCACTTCGGGTGTCCGACGGGAGTTTCATCTTCGCTACAAGAGGAAGGTAAAATTGCGTGTGTGTGGGTGAGTGTGTGGGTGTGTCGCCTGTGGGTTTGCATTTTTGCATCGTGTATTTGGATGCCTGATCCCCTGCCTCCGGTGGGGAGAAGGTCTCCTTTTGCCCCTTTTTGGGGGAACCTCCAGCAGGAGCCCTCAGACCTCTCCCCGCCCACCCACCAACGAAAGCCAGGAGGACTCCTTGGACCAAAAAATACTCTCTCCAGACACCGGAAATCGCCCTGCGCCTGGCACCCACCGAGGCACAGTCCGGGCAGGGGTGGGGCTGCCCCCAGGTCTCCATCCCCACCCCTCACCCCAGGAGGGGACAGAAGTGCCCGCGGGGAGGAGGAGCCGGCGAGCTCACCTCCTTCTGCTCCCCCCCGAACGTCGGCGCCGGGCCTGTTTGTGCGTGCGGTGTGGTGTGCGTGTGTCTTTCATGCAAACCCTCCCTCCCCAAACCGACCCCCCAACAGTTTGCCATTCCATACAAATTTGGAAACAGGTTTTTAAAAAACAGCATGACGCACAACGGGGACGGGGCGGGGGAGGGCAGTGGCACTGGGGCCCCAAATCTCCGAGTCACTGATTGTAAGAACCTGGGGAGGGGGAGGGGGCGGCGCGGGCCCCCACTTCACCAAAGTGCACAGATCCGCGCTCTGGCGGGGCGGCCTGCGGGCCGGGCGGGGCATCCCGAGGCCGGGCCGGGCCGCGAGGCTCAGTGGAGCCTCCTTGCATAGATATTTGTGTCTTTGATTATTGGTAGTAGTGGTTTTTTTTTTGTTTGTTTTTTTGTTTTTTGTTTTTTTTGCCTTTTATTGCTTCTAAAAGTCCTTACTGCGTTTTCTCTCCGATCCGGACTCTGCGTTCGGCTTCCGTCGCCTCTTAGCCTTTTTTTTTTTTTTTTTTTCTTTTGTATGTTTGTTTGTTTAAAAAAAGGAAAAGGGAAAAACAGATTCTAGTTACAAATTTTCTTGGCCTCTCTCTCCTCTCAATCTGCTTCCCCTCCCGCCAAAATTAAAATCGCAAAACGCGGAGACTGGAGGTTGGGGGTGAGGGCGTTCCAGGCCCGGGCTCCGGCGCCCTGACTTCTACCCTCTCCAAGAAAGAGGGAGCGCCTGGCTCCTTTTTGCCTCTGCAGCTGGGTGTCTGTTTTTAAAATAATAATGAGAGGGTAAAACGCGTTCCATCGCTCAGCTGCCCCCTTACCAACGCCTTGGGCCTGCAGGGAGGAGGAAACCTCAGCGAAGATATTGGGAATGGGGGAGGGGTGTCTCCCGGGAGCGCCCGGAGACTGGTCCCTGGAGAAGCACTCCTTGGGAGAGAGGAGGAGGGAACCCCTTGGGGAGAGAGAAGGCGAGTCCCCTGGGGGAAGCGAGGCCCCTGGGACGGGCCACCCACAGGTAACAGGACTGCGCTGCCCCAGGAGAGCGGCAGGACCGGTGGCCCGCTCCCCGCGCCCGGCGCTGGGGTCGGTGGGGGTGTCCCTGCGCTCTGGGGGCTGGGGACAGGGGGGCGGGCAAAGGCAAAAGAAAAAGAAGGGAGCCGGCGCGAAGTCTCAGTTATGAAAAAACGCATTGAGCTCCTCATACATGGGGCCCCGGTCGTGGTGAAGGTGCATATCGTAAGACAAGAGATTCTCCGAGTGGACGCCCCCGCGCACAGCCGACGAGCCGAAGACTAGCCCGTGGCCCGTGGGCCGCGAGCCGGGCAGCGCCGAGTAGTGCATAGAGTAGTGGTAGCTTTTCTCGTGGTCGGGCGAGGAGTCCTGCTTGAGCGAGAAGTTGCCATTGAGACAGAGCGGGGGGCTGAGCGGGCCCTCGTACTCGGAGCTGTTGTAGTCCGGGCTCGCGCCGCCACCGCCTGCCGCAGCATACAGCGTCTCGTAGGCGGCGCAGTAGCCGTGGGTCCGCAGGGCGTGCGCCGCGCCGCCGCCCAGGCCGCCGGCCGCCTGGCACTGTGCGCCCGCCAGGCGCGAGCACGGATACGGGTAGGGGTGCATGGCGAACGGGCCGCCCGAGCCGTGGAAGCGGCCGGCACCGTCGGCGCCTTGCTCCGTGAGGAAGTTGCGCGAGTTGAGCTGCAGACAGCCGGCCACCAGATTGGTGGTGGGCTGCGACAGACCCTTGCACAGAGTCTGCACGTAGGACACTAGGTCTGGCCGCTTGCCGGAGCGCAGGATCTCCGAGAGCGCCCAGATGTAGTTCTTGGCTAGGCGCAGCGTCTCGATCTTGGACAACTTCTGCGTCTTGGAGTAGCAGGGCACCACCTTGCGCAGGTTGTCCAGGGCTGCGTTCAGGTCGTGCATGCGGTTGCGCTCCCGCGCGTTCGCCTTCTGTCGCCGAAGCTTGGAGCGCTCCAAGCGCGCCTTGGTCATCTTGCGCTTCTTGGGTCCGCGCTTCTTGGGCCGCTCGCCCTCCGCCTCGTCCAGTCCTTCTTCCTCCTCCTCTTCCTCCTCCTCCTCGCCCCCCAGCTCGCCTTCCTCCTTGACCTCGGCCAACGTGGCCTCCGGCCCCTCTTCTCCACGGAGAGGAACTGGCTTGGCCGCCCGGGCTGGCCCCGGAGCCCCCGGCCCGGGCGCAGGCGGTGGCGGTGGCGGCGCGTCGCCCTTGTCGCTCCTCGGCTCGTCGTCTTCGCCGTCGCCCCAGCTGGCGAACTTGGGGACGTCCGAGAGAAGGCCGGGCTCGCTGAACAGGCGGGTCAGCATGGTGCCTGAGGGCGCCCCGTGGGCGGGAAGGGGAGACAGACAGCACAAAGTGAGGGGCACGCTGGGGTCACGACGTCCCCCACAACCCGTCTCCACCCCCGAGTCTCGTGCAGGCTCGTGCCTAGGCTACCCTGGATGCCCACCTCCGCCGCCTGCCCCGCCCAGAGCCGGCCCAGCCCTACCCGGCTGCCGGCCTGGGATCTCGGCCCAGGCCCTCTCCCAGGCTCTGGGCCCCGGCTCCGCCCCTCGCTTGAATCGGGGGCTGCTCCCCGCGCCTGCTTCTTCTCAGGGTCAGGGCAGAGACCGGGTGGGGGTTTTAGGGACCAGATATCTTTGCCAGGGAAGGCGGCTCACTCGCCCTGAAAGCCTGTTCTCTCCTGGCAGTGGAGAGAGGCTGGTCGGCCGCCGGTGGGGACAGCTGCCCCGCTCAGCGCTCTCGCGGCCCGGGCCCCTCGGCCCAGCTCCCTTACCCCTCCCGTGGCTCTCACCCCCACGCTCCCTAATCCAATTTGCAACTTGGCTGCGCGCCGCCCCTTGCTTGGCCCCCACCCCCGCACCCCCAATTCCAGAGGCGGGAGGATCGTCTCCTCTAGCCGATGCGTCCCCAGCTCCCGGAGCCGGCTCTGGGCGGTGAGGACTGAAGCAGCAGGGCATGGGGAGGAGACTGAGAGAAACGAGCCCAGTCCGTCCCCCCTACGGTCAGGGACCCCCTTCCCCCTTCAAGCTGCCTCCCTCCCACACGACTCTTCAGATCTCGTTGTATTTGGGGATTGATGGGGAAAAATCCAAATTTGTTTGTTTGCTTCCCCTTTTTTTGGTGGTGGGGAAAGGTCGCAGGCTTTTTGGGACAACCATGGAGGGGTCCTCCGTCTCGGCCTCTTCGCATCTCCCCCTCCGTGATCCTGCCTTCCCCCCACCCCCACCGAGCCCATCGCAGGCAGAGACACCTCCTCTGCAGCCCCCTGGGCTGCAGCCCCTAAGGGAGAGAGAATCTGGGGCGCCTCTGATGCCCACTCAATGAGGGGGGCATCATCCCAGGAAGGAGGTATTTGAGGACCCTCCTTTCGGCCGAAGCTGCCGCCCCCCCTCCCAACCAGCGGGTCAGATCTAGCTCCCTTTCGGACAACTTACCTCGGAGAGGAGTCAAGGGGAGAGGGGAGGGGAGGGGGGGAGGGGGCAAGAGAGAGAGGGGGGAGAAGCGGGATCTTCTCGCTTATTTCATTGTTCCCCCATCTTCAGGGAGCGGGGGCAGCGGCTCCTCAAGGCGGCGGGCGCCGGCGTCTTCAGAGCGCCATGCGAACCGCGGAGCGAGTGTGGCATCTCTACCAGGCGGGGTACCAGCCTCTATGCCAGGCCATATGGGCTTGGCACGTCACGGGCAGCAGCTATCACATGAGAGACGGTGATTGGCATGCGTCTGCACTGGGGGAGAGCCGGCTCCCCCGGGACCCGCCGCCATCTGTCACTCTCTACTCCAAAAAAAAAAAATTAAATAAATAAAGGAAATAAATAAATATTTCTGCTGCCCTCCCCTCCCCGCCCAACGCAGGGAAAGCAGGGATTGAGAGGAAGATGGGAGGAGTTGCCCCCCTGGATATAGAGTCCCCCACATGGGAACAATGGGGTGGCAAGGCTGGACACTGGGGACTCATGGTAGCCAATTCTATCCTCCCTCAGGGTCCCGCTCTGTCCATTTCCTCCCCTGCAGGCCCCCAAGGTGGGTCAGGGACCAGACCCCGGGCTGGGGAGAGGGGACCTCTGTGTTTGCCCCCACTCCCCAGGAGGGTCCCCTTGGCCACAAAGGGACAGCTGAGGCCCCCTCCCAGGAAGGCTGTAAGGGGCGTCCCTGGCCCGAGCCCCATAGGTAGATATTGGCACCATGCCATCCCTCATCCCTGTCTGCCCCTCCCCCACCCGCCCTCACGCACACACAACATATGTGGCTAAACGAAATTCAAACCAAGGGAAAGACAGAGAAAGGGAAAGATGTGCCTGGATGTCTGTGCCTCTGCATGGGCGTGTGTGTGTCTGTGGGGACATGTGTGTATCTGTGGAGTCAGCGGATGGGAGATCTTTCTTTGGTTGTTGGGGGCGTATCCATGTTAGGGTGGAGGTGGGGAGGGGCTGTGAGATGAGCCTGTGCACCACCCATCTGGGGGTGGAGGGGAGGGTCTAAGTCTGGATTCCTAACCTAGAAACCTCTCACTCTCCTCCTCCCACTGTCAGACAGGTGACCAGTCCACCAGCGGCTTTCTCTCTTGGCCTTCAGACTTGGTTATTTGAGGGAGGAGGAACAGGCAGTGCTGAGAACTGCCTAAGTTCCTGGATGAGACTCAAGTATTCTCCTCCCCTTGTGAAAAATCTGAAAATACTGAAGCCAACCCCAGTAATCCCAAGAGTGGCCAAGGGGAGGTAGGTCAGACAGGTGTCTTGGTAAGGAAGGTAGAAATTGCTGTTTTATCTTGCGGCTCACCTTTCAACCCTCTCACTGGGCCAGATGCAGACACAAATGGCACAGGTTGAAGAGGTGGCTTTGGATACACACACACACACACACTCTCATGCACACACACATACACACACACAGGCATGCATACACATGCACACATATTCCTGTTCCTCACCCTGTGGTGTGGAAAAATAGAGAACATACCGCTACTCAGATAGACACATGTATGTGAGCAGGATCACAGCCTAGTGTAGACAGACCCTTGTCCACACCCCATTTCGGGCATTTGTGTGTTTTAGACCCACATTTCATGCCCCTCCAGACACTCTGGTTGACATATGCACACAACTTCAATTATACTTTCAGCACACACATGTTGATGTCCACCATGTGCCAAGCACTGTGGTGGTACAAAAATGAGCACGGGGAGGCCTTTACCCTCAGTATGGGTGGGCAGGCTCTCTCCCTCTAGGAGGCTCCCTAGGGACCTTGGTAAGACACTGATCTGATGTTGGGTAGGCTGGATTAAGTTCTAAATAGAGACACACATCAGGAGGCCTTGGAGATAGGGGTGCTAGTGCTGCCTGAGTCACTTGGCTGGGAGTTGAAAGTAGCCTGAGAATGTACCTCTCCAACTCCTCCTCTTACAGAGGCCCACGGAGGGAAACTGACCTGCCTAGGAACACAGAGGGGAAACACAGAACTGGTCCTAGAACCCAGGCACTTGACCCACAGGCCAGTGCTCCACTTATAAGCCCACAATCTGCCTTAGTGGTCTCTAAAAATAAGCCTACCATGCTTCCCTTCATTCACGGAACCTGGGTCTGCAAGGGGAATCTCATCGATGGCAGATAGTTGGGGTGGGGGGATTCTGGACATGGCAGAGAAAGAGGCCAAAGGATGGGCCTCGGGTAGGCCAGAGACTCGGGAGTGCTGGCCAGCCCCCACCAAGTCTGGGCACAGCCTCGAAGGCTTTGCAATCCGTTTACTGAGGCAGGGTCCTCAATTCTGACTGGCGGCCTTTCTCCTGGAGTCTCCTGGCTCTGTGGTATTTCGATTACATGCTCATGCTCTGGGCTTCTGATTCCTGGTCAACCCCATTACCAACTTAAAAAAAATGCTGGGCCCAGCTCGGTGGCTCACACCTGTAATACCAACAGTTTGGGAGGCTAAGGCCAGCAGATCCCTTCAGCTCATGAGTTCGAGACCAGCCTGGGCAACATGGTGAAACTCTGCCTCTGCCTAAAATACAAAAATTAGCCAGGCATGGCGGCGCATGCCTGTAGTCCCAGCTACTCTGGAGGCTGAGGCAAGAGGATCACTTGAGACCAGGAGGCAGAAGCTGAAGAGAGCTGTGATCACGCCACTGCACTCCAGCCTGGGTGATAGAGCTAGACCTTGTCTCAAAAAAAAAAAAAAAAAAATTAAAAAAATGCTGAATGCTTTAAGCAAGTTATATAACATGTCTTGGTCTTGATTTCCTCATCTATAAAATGGGATAAATTATGCTACACCCTCATAGGGCTGTTAATACTAAATGGGATAATCCATGCCACAAATGAGCCTCCAATAAATGCCAACTCTTAATTAAAACACCTTTACAATATTATGTTTACAACGTTAATTTTTTTGCTCATACCCTCCCCACACATATTCAGAATGCTTGGTCTATATAGAAACTGAATTTTTGTGGAATTGATGGGCAAGTGAATGGATGAATAGGTGAATAAATGCTTCCTTGGGGGAGAAAGTTGTGCCTTCTTGCCTTCTCCCTTGGACACTGAGGGCTGGGTTAAACCCACCAGGGGTATCACAGGCCCCTCCAGGCAGGAGGTAAAAACTTGTTCGGGATAGGGGAGCCCTTGGGTGGGGGGTTCCTGCCACCCTTCCAGCCACCTGTCAGGAATGACCTCAACTCTCTGGGTCTGAGAAGCTCCCCTCAGTCACCCGGAGGAGGCCTGAGGTTGGGGGTGTGCACCTGAGGACTTCATCCCTTTCGTTCTGTCTCCTCTGTCTTTTCTTCCTTCAGAAAAATGGAACAAGTTTTTCTCACTCGACACATTTCAACTTTTTTTTAGAAGATACAATAAAAACCAGGGGAAAATTGGAACAGAGGGAGGTGTGGGATGGGCCTGCTTCAGACATGGGCTTGAAAGAGGCACAACACGTGTGTTCACATACACACGAGCAAGCATGAACACGCAGGGACATACGCGCATCTCTCTGTGCACCAGAGATGCAGAGATGCAGTGACGGAGAGACAGAAAGAGCCAGAAATGGAAGGAAGGAGACGGAAGGAGAAGGACACCCAGAGATGCCATCTGTTCCTCCCCCTGGCATTGGGGGAAGGGAGTTGGTGAGGGGCCTGGTCCCCTCCAGGTCTCTGAGAGAAAAAAGGGAGTGATGGGCACCTCAGCCAGGCCTGGAAGGCCCCCATTGCTGCTGCCCACTCCTCTTGGAAGGAACTGGGAGCTGGGGGGCCTGAGGTTCCCATGGAGACATAGCCCCATCCCAAGGGAGGCCACAGTCTGGGCACCTAAAATGGCTGCCTCAGAGGGGTAGCGGCCATTTTGTACAGGCTCAGGTCCTGGGGGCAGGGGTGAGGGGGGCAGAGTGTGTGTGTCAGGGAGGTGGGAGGTCATCCCTGAGGAGTCTGGGGGATTCTTGCTCAGGGCACAGGAAGAGTGTTCTAGAAACTGCTCTCATTATACTCCCTGCTCCACCAAAATACATACATAAATCGTTAACTGCTCCACTCCATTCTGACACCCAGAAGGACAGCTAGCCAGTCACCACCCCCCGAATGAGATTGGTGGTCACCACCCCTGAATGAGATTGGTGGGGGCACTGAAGGACACTTGATTTCCCACCAAAGCTCCAGGCAGGGAGGGCAGCGGCAGGTGGATCAAACCCAGGTGTCCAGCCCCTGGCCTCAGCCACACATTTATCTACCTCCTGGGGCCTCTCTGGGCTGAGTAGGGCCGGCAGGTGAGAACCCAGCGAGCTTGGGAGCGCAGGAAGGAAGGGGGCTGCCTGTCTTCTCACTCCCCTCCTCAGATTTGAGGGGAAGGGCAGGAATTTGGAGATCATTGAGGGGCCTGTGTTCCTGCCATTAGCCGTGCTGTGGGGGGAGGGGGAAAGGGAGGGGACAGGCTGGCATTGCCCAGCAGTGTTCCAGCAGTTCAAGATGCTCAAAGATTCCTCCTGAAGCATCAGAGCACCTACCACCTCCCTCCCCAGCCCTTGCCCCACATCAAGTCCAAAGGATGCTGGGGGAGGGGGACCTGCAGCTTCTTCCTGGCTCTGGGGTGGGCACCTGCCCCACTGCCCCCTCCTCCCCGCCCGCCGCAGTATGCTGGGGAGCGGCGGGCACGCCAGATGGCGTGGCTGAGAATGCGGCGACGTTGCCGGGAGGTGAGGGCTGGCACGGGTGATATGCGGCTGCGTGCCTTGTGGTGCCATGGGGGAGGGGAGGGCAGGGCCAGTGAGGTGTAGCCCCCTCCTCCGTGCTGACCTCCTGTCCTGACCTCCACTCACCACCAGGATTCTCTTCAACTTCCTCTGCCTGCTCCCTGGGCTCCCACCGTGGGCCTAGACCCCACCCAAAGATGGGTGGGACCGGCCTGATGCTGACAGAGGTCAGACCTCTGTTGCATCCTTGTCCCCCTCTCCCACCCCCAGTCAGGGACAAAGGATTGATTGAGGAGACCCGCCAGTCCTGCACCAAAGCCACCCCCCTCTGGATTGTTTCCTTGCTCTAAAGGTGGCATGACCTTTGCTCCAGTAACCTTTGACTTCTGGCCTCTAAGCCCCGGTTTTCTGAGAAGAGCTCTTTCCCTCATGGGCACTGGTCCCTGAGTTTCCCTTTGGTCAAATGCATTCTCATTTCTCACTAAGATGCTTCCTGGACACCTCCTCCTGGAAGCCTTCCCTGACCTCCCCGGGCAGGGTAGCTTACCACCCTTTGTTAGAAGGATCTATTTACCCATCTGTCTCCTTGCCTGGACCCTGGTGATGACTTGTTCTGTATCTCTTTAGTCTCAGGCTTCATACTGGGCAAC